CCTGCCATATGAATGTGGAAAGCAACACAACAAAATAGTCTTTTAGCCTCAGCCCCCATGCCTGCCTGTACGGACAGACACACACAGACACACAGACACACACACACACACACGCACACACTCCAATTTCCTGAGTTGGCTCGCCTGCCAAACAATCAAACATAAACACAACCCACATGTCACACTTGATCACACTAACATGCATACACAGAGTCTAGATAAAACAAGGAAGACACACACACCCTTACTCAAACCATCCTCCCCTGACTGTTGTTTTCTGAGGATAACAGAAACGTACGCTCTGCTACAGCACAGACGCACACACAAACAGATGCAAAAACACACACACGTATACACAGACAGGACCCCTGATGGAGTGAGTAAATGGAGGGGAAGCATTGTGGAGGCAAGGGGAGCCTGGTTTGTCATGGGATGTTATGTGAGCTGGTGTGTATGCATGTGTGTATGGCATGTCTGTGTGTGTGGTGGTGTTGTGTGTGTGTGTGTGTGTGTGTGTGTGTGTGTATAGAGGTAAGGGCAACATGCTTCATTACAGCTCATTTAACTCACAACCGGGTGAATGACAGCTGCGTGGGAGACGGGAGGAGAAGGGGAGAGGGGGAGAGGGGAGTGTAAGGGCAACGCCGTGACCCCCCTTTTACAAACACTGAAATCCTGCAATTAAGACTCAAACAGCAACTGCCAAATCCACCTCTCCCCCATCACAACACTAACAGAGAGCCCCATCAGTCCACGCCAATAACAAGCCCACCTCACATCTAACCAAAATACCCTCTAAGCCCAGTGCCACTCTTGCTAAGCTAAAGCCCTCCCACCGCCCTTCCTTCACCCTAATTTCCCTTAACACACGCCCCTGGCCTCCCCTATGGCAACTATGAAGCTGAGTATTCAACCATTCTACAGTCCCACCCAAAAAGTCACCACCAAGCAGCTCAACTCAGTCCTCTTTTCAACTAACATTACCACTGAATTGCAAGTAAAAACATTTGTATTTGTAATGCTCCTTACTCTCATCATACCAATCCATTTCATCTTGAGAATAGCTGGTCATGCCGCCATCCTTCATCACAGGCTGATGACATTTTTCAATGAACACCACTCATCCACACTTCTCTCACTGAATCATATAATTTCTTCTCTACTCACTCACTGTGAAAAAAGATCATTCTATCAATCAATTCAATCAAATCAATCAATCAATCAATCAATCCAATCAACCCATTTTATTCCCAGGCCCATAGTCCATTAAAAAAAAGAGAAATTGTATGCCTACCAACTTTTTCATATGTCTGACATGACATGACAATCCCAAAAACACTTTTGGGGACTGTGCCATTGGCCCATGGACTTTGAGATTAGTTTGGTGTTCAAGGGATTTGAAATAATTGCATCTCCTTTAAAGTCAGAGTCAGCCATATGCCTTCAAATGTATAATCAGTGTAAACGATTTGCGCAGGTGTATAATTTATATATACAAGTACCACTGTAAAGTTTTAGTACTGATTTGACGGTATTTAGTGAAATTTTTCCACAAATAAAAAGACAGACCTGTTGACATCCTGTTCCTATATGTGAGGTTATGGAGAGGTATAGCATTGGCATATACAAGCTGAACGCTTATCAGAAGTATTTTATCACTTCCCTCACTTTTAAACTATCTTATACTGCTATAACTCGGTAGCAGTGTAGTATGGCATCCTGTGCTCTTTCACATACAACACACTAGACATACTGGCTATCACGCGCTGCACACAAAGAACAAGTGCCCTTTTCCAAGAAAAAAATGTAGTTGTAGCAGGCAAGTATCAGAGATTAAAATTACACTATTCAAGAATCAAAAATATATAAAGGTTTTGCATCTTGTCTTTTCATGTGTAGGGAAGGAAATGTATTCTTATGCAGTAAACAGAAGCGAACACAGTCAATATAATGTAAGTAAAAAGGAAGTAGAGGAATACACACTGTAGGTGGAAAACCTGGCAGTCCACGTACCCCGATGACGGACATTGAGCTCTGCCATGGTCACTTGTTTGGGCCCGCTCCACAGCTTGGAACCACTTTGCCTGGCTGATGCTGGCAAAACACAGACGGACACACCAGTCGGTGACAGACTCGCGAGAGTAAACCAGGCAATTATCAGTAGAAGCATAGCAGAGACAATAGAGTGTGATAATAGCAATAAAAAAAAACATAGCTGTATACGTAGGATGATACACAATACCAGGAATTTGGTGTAGGTCGTACCATATGCAATGAAACTAGCGTTTCCAATAACCAATCAACTACCACAAAGAAAAAAAACAGATACAACAGATACGCACACAGCACAGGTGTTTAACACACACACAGTGCACGTCTCTCCACACACCAGGTCTGAAAAATGCTCATTTAAAAGCCACGCATTATATATTTTGGAACACAGACTTTGTTAACAGTATTGACAAACCATGCAATGTTTGGTGACTCATTGCTCACATATGGAAGCTGTTGCCTATGGATCAGCCTAAACAATCAACGTAGCCTTGCTGTGAATGTTGTGTGTGGGTGTTTGCTACAACAACAAGCAACTGCTGCGCAGTTACAAACAATAACCGAGACATTTCAGGACGATGAACATTTGAACATGTGTTAATACAAAAGTAACAACTGAACTCATCACCCTAATTATGTGTACAGCACTCGGATAGTTGTCTTTGAGCTGCTTAATACGTTTTGAGATCTGTTCCTCCTTCCAATATGGAATAAGCTCTGTTCCACCCGTTTCGATAATGGCTTTTGGTGTCCATAAACTTGTCCACTGCGATCGCCGTCAAGTGCAAAATATCTCGATACCAAGTTTGCCTCCCTGCCTGCCCTTCTTCTTCAGGATTGAGTGTTAGAAAAGGATGCTCATAGCAGTTATACCCCAGAATGCATCTCCAGGTACCTAACGACATCTACACGTACCTATGTACTGTAGAAAAGACAGTACCTGACACATCTCTCAGAAATTTTGGCATCGACCTTAGTACCAAAGTATGTTTCGGTTTCTCGTTGGCAAATCCCTAGTCCGAGCTAAATAAACACATATCTTACCTCCTGAGAGAGGAGGCGATATAGAGACTTGTGCACCCGCATGGTTAACAGTCCCCTAGTGGCTATCTCAGTCTGATAAGGAAGAGACACAAGAGGAACAATGAAAGAGACTATTATTGGCATAGCTACAGAATTCGAGAGATAATTATAGAAAACAGATGTTCACTAACCACCAGAGAGAGAGGTATAGATACTCGAGCGCACACATACACACACACACGCACCACACACACAAAAACATGAGAAACTGCTGTTCACCACAGCAACCAACAAAAACACACATATACACACATAACCTACCGTCTGTGATATGATAAACTAACCAGTATCGCCTTTCTCTCTAACAACAAAATCTAGTGTGATGTCATTTATCTCTTCTCTTAT